ATGTATGCATGCATGCATGGATGTCTTTATATGTATACTGTGTTACATGTCCATGTGTACGCGTGCAAGCATTGCAGTAAGCCGTGACCGATAGAGCGCCGGATCGTTTCTGAAGTTCCTGAATGTGCAAGTGCGGCTACAGAGAAGCATGATGTCCAGTAGTCGGTCTCGACTGCCTGCTCGCGAAGCTAGTGGCATGCTGCTAATCTCCCTGGGGGGCGCTCCTGCTCGGTGCCCAGCAACCCATGGTTGAAAACCGTTGCGAACTGACTCGGATGAAGATGTGTTGAGGCTTGGAATGAAGCTAGCCAGTCACCCACAAAGCTTTCTCTGCAGTACTTTGCACAAACCCAAAATGCCCTAAATCCTTTTCAAATCCCTAAGGCAACAAGCAGCCTCTTAAAGCAGATTCCGGCGCGCGCTTTGTTGACCGACTAGCTCCTCGGCAACAGCAAAAAAACTGTAAATGCAGATCGAAGAGTAGTTGGAAATCTGTCTCCTCGATAGAGATGGCATCCCCAGATTTCCTGCAAGGAGGAAGTTAGTAATGTAGGAACCTGATTAAGANNTTGGGATTATAGGGCCAGGGTTTCTTAGTCAGGTTCCTACATTAGGCTTGCACTGACTGCCATCCTGAGCTGGGGTGAACATCAGCGGAATGACTTGGGCGACTTGGGGACGCAGATCCCCCAATGCAGACAGAAAGGTTGAGTGTTCTGTGTTTGGAACTTCCCTCGGGTTTTGTGATGCGACATCATCTTGGCATGTTTTTGAAGGCTGAAGGCTCGGCGAAAGTCCTGACTGACTCAGCCGGTGCTCCAAATTCGATGTGCTTGGTGTCAGAAGTTCGCGGCTTCTCGTAGGCCACAGATGTGAGGGTTGTGTAATCGCAGGTGAGCAGAGGTCAGTCTCACTGCGTGGTTTCTTGCAGGTGGCATTTTGCGAGTGTTGCTATCGCATGAGTTACAGGCACACACGGTTCATGGAGCAGAGTGCTCGAGGGAAGTCGCTATGTTTGTTGGGGTTGCGACCTCGCCATCCAAGGTGGACCATGCGGGCTTCGATGTGTTCTTTGCCTGTGTAGTGCTGCTGAATTCGATATTGATTGGTGTAGACGTCGAGAACACCCTCTCCTGTCGAGACCAACCTGTTTGTGATGCTCGACCGGCATGGTTGCAGGCTACGCAGATTTCATGCACTGTCTTGTTCGTGTTGGAGTTGGTCATCCGCGTGACAGCCAGTGGGATTCAGATCTTTTGCTCAGAAGACTGGCTATGGATACTCCTGGATGTGCTCATTGTAGCCCTGTCGGTGTGGGAGATCGTTGTGGATATCTCCCTGCTTGTGGAGCCAGATCAGGAAGGGATGAACGAGGGCGTCAGTGGCATCGCCAGCTTAAAGGCATTCAGGATTATTCGACTTACCAGGATATTGAAAACGGCTCAGCTGATGCGGGTCTTCCGTTTCGTGATGGCGCTTCGAACTTTGGTCCAGTCGGTGTTGCATACGCTGAAGGCCTTAATGTGGGCGCTTCTCCTGCTGTTGTTAATAGTCTATGCGCCTCGTGCGGCAAGAAGCCAAGTCCTCTTGCTAAGGAGCCCTTTCTTCTTTTACGTGTCCACGAGTTTCTGTCTTTGGTCCAAGCCTCCAATCATGCATTGGGGCCTTCTGTTGCGAGCTATCCTGATGACCGGTCCCTTCTTGTAGTTCATGGTAAGGAGCTTCATGTCGGTACCCAGACATTCCAAAATCTCTTACTGAGGTTAAGGAAACGACCTTAAATTATAGTAGGATCACTAGTCTGATGGAAGGTATATTCTTGAATTAACATGTTTTGGAAGGTGAGGGTAATAATGTGGCATTTCTGCATTCGAGGCACGGAGGCCCGTAACCCGGAACACTGACGGATGCCCTGTTTGCACTCACACTCGCACAATTGACAACAAGTTGCATTTAGGAGTTATGCTAAGGGTAAGGTTGTTCTCCTCTGAACCCTTTCATGTTGTCGAGCCCATCTTCTACATGCCATGATCGAGTCGCTCGCAGTCATGCTCTTCCCCCGCTCTGAGGTGTTCGCCGTTCTCTTCACCCAGGCAATTCATGATCACATTTATGTCGACATGCTTCCGATGCCGGCGGACGCGGAGGTGGCCAGCGATCGCTACTTTGGGTCCCTCCTGGATTCTATGCTCAGACACTTGCTTTTGCCATGGAAGATTTTGCACTTGTGGTTTTCGGATGCTGTTTTATCCCGCTGCCAGCAGGTTTCTTTTCTGTGAGACGACAGGTCTGTTCATGAGCATTGCTGGGGGCGTGAGCTGGGAGGAGGTCCTTCTTCCTTTGCGACATGTCTCCTCGGCTTGGATCTGGACGTTCTGCTTCATCTTCTATATATCGTTTACATATTTTGCCGTTTCTCGGCCACAAGAAGCTCTCTAGAGAGGGTAGCTTTGTGAGGGAACCAGTGATGCTCCGCTTCGAAGCTGCATGGTTCGACCGAGCAACCAAGGTATTGAATGTCGTCACAGCAGCCCTTCAGCTGTGTGTTGGCATCTGATTTCCCGGGTGTGGATATCTGACTTGTTTTCTGCATCCACAGTGGACCCTGGACACGTAAGGTCTTCTGTCAGTCAGCTATCGAATCTGCACAGAACGATCACGCAACCGTGGTGCAAAATATGTTGGACAACAAGGACACTCTGTCACATTTGGTCAGTTGCTCTTTTCTTGTCCAGCCGTCTAGGGCTCCACATCTTCGCGATTGGAAACGTTTGATGGCCTGCCTTGTGAATGCAAAACCCTAGCCAGGCGACTGCTGCGTCAGATGATGTCCTCCACTGCACAGACAGCAGTGTACAATTTATAGCTTATGATCGGTGGAAATAAAGTTAGCTCCTACACTAAGATACCAAGTTTCGTCTGGCTAACTAGATGTTGCGTTCAGTTGCTGGAGGTCTTGTACATTGCGGATGGGCAGAATTAGCAAATGCTCATATTCTTCTTCAGTGTGACTGCGAGTAGACTCAGCTCCAGCTCATGCACATAAGATGTTGATCGCTCTGTTCGAGTCGAGATGGCTTCGTAGCAACACCGTGGCTCGACATATGACTTGTGTCGAAGCACTGGCGTGTTTAAGCATGATGTGACATGTTCGAAGCAGCATTCTGGCGTTACTCCGGCCACAGCATGCTTCGAGTCATGCTACATTCATTCACTCATTCCACGGAATGCCCGCCACCCATAACCGATCCACCAATATGTCCTTCCTAAGCCTCCTTCCCTCGCTGTCCCTGCAGGAGTCTCACCTGAAGAAGTTGCGTGCGCTCTTCAGCAAGTTCGACATTCAGCCACCAGTATGCATTGCTGCATGTTGCAAGCAAGAGGACTATACAGTCAAGTCAGCTACTGCACTGTACACAGTCGAGACCCTCCCCGGCAGGGAGGGGGGTGTGTGGGGTTGGGGGCGGAGATTTTACAGACACGGCTTCTTCTGCTGCGACAGCGACATGAAACACGAAGGATCACAGCAAATGCAACAACAACAACTTCACTCAGACCGATACCAGTAGCAACCAAGAGGCAATACACAGCAGCAGTAAGGAATGCGGCCAATCCACATCAGCCACAGCCAGAGCATCGTCAGCAACAGCATCAACGACAAGGGTTCAACACAGGAGGAGCCAGACAATGCTGCAAACGAAAAGTGAAACAACAGGTTTACAGCAATGTGTTCACTGCCACTGTGTCCAGACTTGCTCCAACTCCGACATCTTCATCGGAGCTGCTCGTACAAGGCATAGGTCACGCACATCAACCCCATGGTCATCGCCGTTGTTCTTGCTTCGTTGTGCGTTGCAATCAGCATCATCACATTCTGTTGCTTCAGTCCCCTTATTGCAATATGCCTCTCCTCGCTTCATCTTCACTATCGACACGGGTGAGATTTTTAATGTTTCCGTGGGACACCTGTCATAGCTGTTGGCTTGCTGTCCGCCACGCTAAATGTTTCCGAGGGCAAATGGAGGCATTACTTATGGCATGTTCGAGGAGAAACTCGATTCCCCGGCTGTTCGCGACTTGGATGCCGTAGTCAATGCTGGGCTTCAAATTTGCTATAGTTTTGGACCTGAGTGAGTCTGTACAAACATTGTAACAAATGAAATCGTATGCTAGTAGTTTAACATTAGTCTACTAAAGCTGTGCCACAGGATGATATAGTCTGCGGTCATACGCTACAACATACGTTGGCCTGCACGGTCAGGTGAATACTTCGAGACGCTTGGGCTGGATGTGTGGGATGCCTGGTCCTGAGTTGCTCGCTGCGTGCACTCTCTGCTATATCCTACACTGTACTACCTGTACTACAGTCTCCTGATAATACTATACTATAACTTGCCATCGCCTTTAAGTACACAATCTGATTCTCCATATACTAGACGACTGTGTGCGACATTAGACTAGATAGTACTGTAGTGTACGGATGATGTATGAAGGTTTTATAAAAAACAAGAAGGTATAGTGCACGACACTACACCCTAAGTTGCTACAGTTTGTTGTTAGATAATGTAATATATGCCATATTACTGTAAAAGTACAAGTCTCACCGCAAAACTTCACCATGTACGACATTAGCCTACAGTGTGTATACTGTACACTCTAATATACCATACTACCGGTAGTCTCCATTGTAGTTCCTTTTTCTGGTTTAACCAATTATATATTAAGGATTTTATAAGGCATATCCCCCAAAAGGAACTACAATGGAGACTATAGGTAGGAGCAGCACACTTGTCTTGCTGAGCTCAGGCCTGGTCCTTTTTCAAGCTTCTCGATCAGGACGGTGGTGGCCTGGTGGAGATCGAAGAGTTTTTTATGGGGTGTTTGAGATTCAGCGGACATGCTCGGGCGATGGACGCTGCTCGGCTGCAATTTTCGCCTAGACACGAAAAACGTGCTAAACGATCCCAAGACTACCACCAACGAAGACAGGACATGTTGGTTTTCAGTTGCCTGAGCTTCTCCCGACAAGGTTGGCAAAATCATCCAAGATCAAGGCTGGATTATCAGAGCCTTGGCCCGAGGAGTGTGTGCGCTGCTCACACAACGAAATCTTGCAGCAAAGGGCGCAAGCGTACTGATGGGGCAAGGTCTGCTTGGGCACAGTCTGAGCAGATGCCGCTGGTTTGTTCTAACTTGTGTTGACGACTACACTTAGTTGCACAGAGGTGAGCGTCAAAAATGGAGGATCCTACCTGTTCTATTCACAGCAGAAAAGGACCGACAGCAACAACCACCGCTACACTCAACATCATCTACGATGGCAACAGAAGCAGGAACAAGCATATGAACAGCAGCAACAACAACAACAGCAGGCCCCGTGCCAGCAACATGAGCGACCACAGCATCAGTGGCAAGAGCACACCTGCTAGTTGCATACGGATCCGTCGATGCCAGCGTGCATATGCAAGCATGGTATATGACCGTGTACAGATGCTTGTCAGCCTACCATATACCTGCATGCAGGAGCGTAAGAAACGTTTGTTGTAGCAAATGCCAAAGCTCGTACATACACTAGTACATTGCTATCCGGGGGTCCATGCTGGTCATTGCTGGGCCTTGTAAGTAACCCTGGTCTGTAATCAGCACAGACACAAACGGAGATCAATAAATGGATAAGCAAACACCAAAACAGCTAGTTACATGCGTGTGTGTATATATATATATGTATGCATATATACACGCATCATAAACACATAAACACATACAAACATGCCAGCAGCAAGCAGACATACATACCTACGTACATACAGACGGACATACACAGACATACATATACACGTACATGCAACATACATGCATCCATACATACATATACGCATAAATGCATGCAGGCTCGCATGCATACTTGCTTACCTACTTACTTGCCTACTTACATCGCATACATAGATACATGTCCAAACGAGACGGAGATGGAGAATAATTCGTTGATATCAGGAGACACCTGGGCTCCCAAATTCGATGTCACGCCTAACCTTACACCCTTGAGTCCTGCACTTCAGTGATCAGGAACCCGACATGACTTGGCTGAAGCCTCTTCCACACTTTTGAGTCCCACAGAATCAAAGAGCTGTCAACCCATAGGCCCCATAGTAGTTCCTTTTTACCTTATAGGATTCTATATATATATATATATATATATGAACCCCACAAAGGAACTACTATGGGGCCTATGGGTACCTGAGACTTGAGCCATCTCAGGAAATCAGGGGCGCTTTCACAGCTACGTTGAAGGCGAGCTGCACAAGCTCCACGAGCACATGAACTCGTTGACCGTGCCACTCCTTTGCGTCATCACAGGGCATACGCAGAACTTGGTCTTTCTTTGTTTGGTCGGATCTTGGATTAGGCTCAATGAGACTATAGCAATAGTGTTTTGGTGCCCATTATACTATAGCTATGGTAAGGAACCCCCCCCCAAAAAAAA